AGTCCTTGTAGCTGGTTTTTCTTTTTTTAAAATAGTACAAAAATCATCAAAATTCAGTGTAGTTGTTTGTGAAGTCCAATATTTATTAACTGTCTTCTGAGATGGATTTCTTCCAGCCTGTTGAAGTACTGAACAATAAAACACAGTATTAACTATATATTCCAGCTGTCAGTAAAGAAGTTTTCTCAAAACATCCTCTACTCACTTTCCATGTTCAGACTTTTTTTTTTTTCCTCAAGCCCAATCAAACCAAGAGAAAAGCAGGTCTGAAGGACAGTTTTGCTTATAGTGGCAATCCTGTACTCTACTGATACAGACTGACTGTGACCTTCCCTGGCCTTGAATTCCGTGGCTCGTACCAGAGAGGTTCAAGCAGCCTGAGGGGCAGATGAGCTCACTCGCATATTCTTTTGAAAGGAGTCATGAAACAAGCAGTGCCTGGCATCCCAGATCACCCCTCACGAACTACGATCCAGCACAGAGATGACATACGGCACACCGCTGAGAATCACACCCACTTTCTTCTAGAGAAATAGGAAGAAACCAGAGAGCAGTCTGTGACTTTCTGTGAATTTTTGTAACACAATATCACAGGAAATATTTTGCTTAAAGCTTCCACTTAGTCATGTGCACTGTTCTACTAAACTTAGTGGGATGTCTCCCTTAAATAAAGTTAATGGGTTCAAATCATTAATTAAGCAAAACATCCGTGAATTCAAAGACAGCTTCCTCAAGTGGTAAGTGTAAAATTCAGCCCAGTGTCTGTATTCCCCACCTTAATATCAAGAATCTATTATTTGTAAGCTTGGACATTATTAGATCTTATTTCTACTGAGATCCACGTAAGTCTTTCCATTTACTGTGCAAAGAACTCGGACCCAGTGTAAAATTTACCTTAAACAATCTTTTATGTCACATCTATACATTTGAACTTATCAATTCAAGTTATGCAACATGAATTTCAAATGTAAGGGAAATGATACCAACAGACATACTTAAGGCCAACAGCCAATACCATACATGCAACTAGTCCCAACTACACCTGGCATTCTTCAAAATTAATTTGCCACACCTAGTTAGCCTCTTAGAAGTCTTGACTGAAAACATCCTTTCACCAGTTTCCAGTGTGAAGAAGGCATTATTTAAACTGAAATCAAATCCTAATGCACAGTCTATCTGAAACAGGAGAGATGCTTTTATATCTTCCCATGTAATTAAGGTTTTTTTAGGGAAACACAAGAGATCCTTCATCTTTACCTAGGCTGGCAGTTTGATTTTTAGCCAGCTGACCAAGGCTATACTGGCTGAGAGCAGTTCAGTAGCATCTGTAAAATGAGGTGGTGGCATCGTTACAATTCTCAGTAGGCAACTGTGTCACCATAAAAACAAACAAACAAAACCAGACACTTTTGTTGCTAATCTCCGATTGAATGCCAAGGACTAAATAAAGATTTCTGCCCTGTCACCTCTACAAGCAGAGCCAGGAGAATACAGCAAAGCTTGTATCTTTATCCATGCAGCGCTTGGGCACATTGCAATTGTTTAAGGATTTCAATGTCAAGGTCAGCCAAGGAAGGGCAGTTACTCTGTGTATTTGTTTACGTGGATAGCAGAGTTCCCTGGAATGTCAATATAGCACAGTATTCACTTACATTTAACAGAGTATCCTTCAAATATACGATAATTCTGTATTTTTATATAACCTGGGAGATCACCACTTGCCATACCCTGCCTGCCTCCCAAGTTTGTATTTTTGAAAGGTCAATTAGACTGCACCTTTTATTTATACTTCTTTACAGACTGATTCTGCTAAATACCTTAAGTAATATTACACCACAGGAAATTAAGCTACAATCAGTAAGTAAAACCCCTACAAATAAAATTTCGCAGGGCCAATCTCTACGTATTTCAGAGTTTAGAATATTAGCCAAACATCATGTAGCAAGCGATGCTTAAACACTGGCACCACTCATTTGACAAATGCTAGAATTTATTTAAGATGCAACATAAGTCTATAATAACTCTCAATGCTTACAAATTTTAAAAGAAGTTCTTAAATATCTCTGAAAAGACTGGGAGCCTGAGCAACTAATTGCCCTTTCTGAGCTGACCTTGAAGCCAAAGGGACGAAACACTTGCTATGTAGCAAAGTGGCATATGGATAGAGATGAAAGCCAAAGCATATATGAGAGATGACATTTGTTCACACCACTCCTATCTTAAAATCCAGATTATCCAAAACTATCATTAGGATGTTATAAAGGCACTTTTATTACAGCTGAGAAAGCCTGGATAACACTAAAGCACATTCTTTCAGCATGTGACTGCTAATGGGTAGGATTTCATGTACTGGTATAGGAAAAGAAGCTGCAAACAATCAGTGCAAAGAGAAGTATGCTCAGCTTTTATAGTGGTGGTTTCCATGTATTTTATGCATGGGCAACGCAGCCATTAGTGAGAAATATTTCCCCACATATGCAAAAAAACCCCAAACCTATATGGTCACTAGAATTATGATAAAACTAAACTATTTGACAGCTTAGCATCTTTTTGCCTTTAGCCGTTGCTTGTTTTTTCTTATTACCAACAACTGCAATGCCATAATACACATACCTTTTACTGGCATCACAGTCTCTGAGGAGGACTTGAGAAAGCAAGCTGTACTACCACCCTTAAGTGCATTCTGAGCTGTACCCCAACGTCCACAAAACAAAAATAATTAGTTTTTTAATGATACGTTTTGGTTCTCTTTATCTAACTGAAGGTTTATGTCTCATGCTTTCTTTGTTAACCATGTGAGCTGGGAACATTTTTTCCAACAAAGTAAGCTAAGAATTTCACGTCACAAAATTCCAGGTAGAAAATAGGACTGAAGGACATTTTAATGAATTTCCTAACACAATCCCATGCTATTATATACAACCGCGAATAAACTTTTTCATGAAAGGACAAAAATGCTCTAAGAAAAAAACCAAGCAAACAAACCCCAAACATGGTAAGACACAGTATACAATCCTATGACTCCAAGAGATAGCAAGGTTGGTATTATATTTGCTTGAGAAATTTTATCTGGGATAAAACCTATTTCACAACTGAAACAGATTACTACTCAGTCTCATCTTACTCCTTCCTTATCTTACTTGGTCACTAGGATATATTATAAAGAAATAATTTTCCAATACACAGACCTAACTACCTTTTTTCAGGTAAACTTTTGTAACTTTCCTAATAATTCCATGCAAGGAACTTTGAAATTCGACAGGTTTTCAAAACGAGTGTTGTTACGCTCCACAGCTTTCAGTATCTACTAATACGTTTATTTAGTACAGCTGAAACAGAGATATTTTTTCCCTGTTGTACTGCTGACAGCAATACCACTTATACACAAATATAATATGGATGAAAAAATGAAAACCTCTGATTTTAGTCTATGGGAACATTGTAATTCAGTAGGAGTTTAAATAAAATTAAGAGTAAGAAATCTTACGAAACATCACTGTCTGAAACAGTCCATATGATCACACAAAACTGGTAGAGGAAAGACAGTATTTTCACATATTACTCAAAGTGGCTTAGAACTGTTGTGTGAGACTATCTTTAGGGGTAAATTACCACATCCATGCCTCCAGTAACAACCTCTCCTATGAGTCTGCAAACCTCTGTGCCAATTAATGCCAGTTATCATGGCGATTTTCTGTGCCAGGGCAACTGAGACCAACTCACTCAATCATTTGTCAGGGATAGGAAAAAATTATTGCAGAAATGTCACAATCAAAAAGCAGTACCTATGCCCACCTCAAGTAAGCAACAATGATACTATCAAATTTGGTGTTGTTAAACAACTTAGATCCTCTGTAAGCTGTCAGCTAGCATTGACTTTTGCTCATTCATACTGGTGATTTACAGATTAAAAGCTCTGTATACTATTCCCACTTCCACAAGTCATCCAACACCTAGCAACAAAAATTAAGGATGCGAGGAAAATTTAAAACTTTGAGGAATGGTATTTTCCATAAACTTTGAAAAGTCACTACGTGACATATTTTAGAACAGGCGATACAGCCGCCAACACTTGAAATCTGAACCCTACCTAGAACTACTGTAAATTCCTTAAAACAGTTACTGAGTTTATGCATGGGGATACTCTCACTATTGAATTGCTGACTGCTGTTCGTAAACTACCCACTGTAATCATCACACATAATAGTTGCGAGGAAAAAAATATCTGATCATTACCTAAACTGAGTTGTTCTTTTGATTTAATATTTTCTAAACTGCTTTTTAAAACAGTTAGATAAGCTGCTCGGCAGTTCATGTAAAAGATTGCTTCTTCTGCATGCTGGGACTTCTTTGCTTGGGAACTTTCCGAGCGTGTGACTTTCTGAACAGGGAGGGATGCGTTGTTCTCAGGACTGCTGGCCATTCTGTGAAGAATACAATTACAGTTAGAATTTGTTACTCTTGCCTGTTTAATAATGCCTCTGCTTTGTCCTCTGAAACACAGACTAGCGCAAGTTATCCTAACATCCAGGTTGTACGTTTTCTGTTCTCTAAATCTGTGATGGGAGTACTTATCTATACTTGTAGAGAGATCCACAAACAAAAATAGCTTGAGCTTTACTTATTATTCACAATTTATTCTTTATTGGCAGAAAAAGTTTCATTTTATTGTATTTTATTTTAATTTCAGATGTTTGATTATCACAATGATTATACAGTCATGTTATTTTAAAGCATAAAAACAAATTTTGAAGTTATCTGTGATACAAACCGTTGCTGTCCATGTTTGGAAACAATGGAAGAATTTGTACAGAAGCACACTTGTTGGCTCTGATTACTTTACTACCACTGTCTATGCCTACCGTGATTTTTCACAATGGTAAATTAATGAACATACCATACCTACCACTGTTTTGCTCCCATTGCCACTCTTGTTGCTACAATTCACCAGCAGTAGCAAAGGTGGAGTGTTTTTAGGGGAAAAAAATGCTAATTTAAACATGGCCACAGGTGTGAGAGGAACAGAATTATTTAAAAGACTGTTTCACCAAACAACAATAACAAAGTAAATATTATCAAGAATGGATGCAGTGCTTATCGGACAGAGCTCTGTGGCTGCATGATCACAACTGACTCATGTCAGGTTGGATGCTGTATTATATTTCTTGGTGTTAACAGCAGAGTAAAAGTCCCCTTTGTCCTCGAGTGAAAACTACATGTGAGCATGTTTATATTGAACTGCATATTTGTCAGGCTTTCCTCCCTCACTCAAAAGTTGACTTTCATATTTCCAAGACTGATTTAGCTGGAAAACTGGGTAGCTTTACACAGCTTCAACAGAGACACTGTATAATGTCACAAACACCATATAACATTCAGTGTTAAAAAAGTGATAGAATAATTATTAAATTGATTACATGATTTTTTTTCTGGTGCCAATCCATACCAGAAAAGGCTTTTGTTTTCTGTTTTTACAGATATAACTCAATAAAACATATGGCTAATATTAAAATTGGTCAAAATTGTAACTCTTAATCCTTCAGGTATGTGAAGTTAAGCACACAATGCAGAGACACCGTATAATGTCACAAACACCATATAACATCCAGTGTTAAAAAAGTGATAATTATTAAATTGATTACATGATTTTTTTTTCTGGTGCCAATCCATACCAGAATAGGTTTTTGTTTTCTGTTTTTACAGATGTAACTCAATAAAACATATGGCTAACATTAAAATTGGTCAAAATTGTAACTCCTAATCCTTCAGGTATGTGAAGTTAAGCACACAATTCTACTTTGAAGAGTTATATAACTATAATTAATAGAAATACATAAGTCTGAAGCTAAGAAAGTGCATAAAACTGCACAACTCAGGCCTTTTAAGTACAAAAGGACTACCCACGTAATTGTAAATGAATGGGAAAAAAATGAAATGCACTTTTTCTAAATATTAAAACAATTAAAAGCAGTAGCTAATACTGCTCACCAATGGCCAGTAAACTTTAACAGCAGCTTTCTGCTTTTACCAAGGGTGATTAAGGTTTTCAGAAGGCCATCACAGAGGGACACTAAATCGTGTTGTACTGTTGGTCTAACAGCCTCCCTTATTATTTTACCCAATGTTGACTTCAGAAAATATATTCCAGTATAATAAATTGAATATCTCAAGTTCAGCAACAAGACAACGACATCATAGGGTCCCCTTCAGGACTCATTGGATTTTTACTCAGGAGGCCTAAATCACTCGCACCTTGTTGAGTTATATAGGTCTTTTACACTTGGGAAAGAAAGATAATAATCACTTATCATGGATGAAGTACCCTATTTATAATACACAGACCGCCTGCCTGACACTTTAATATTACACTGGCATCAGAAGGACCCCATAGGGACACTGTGATACAGTCTGGTTACTGCAAACGGGTGTCACTATAATTAAGCACCAGTGTTACACACACAAAATGGAAGCAGGTTAAAGTCAAGGAGGAAAAGAAGAATAAATGTTAATTTTCCAGTAACTAGTTTATAAAATGTGAACTCTCGTTTATACTCCTCAGACTTCCCATTACCGAGGTATTTCTTATGCGGGCCACAGTTCTGCCAAGAAATGCTGCCAATACATTGCTCAGAAATCCAGCAAGCAATAACTTAGTGACAGCACTGCCAGCAGCCCCATGGCTTAGATTGTCAAATTTTTACCAGACAAATGACACTTCAGACAAAATAGAAGGAGAGGAGCAATCCGGCTTCAGCTGAAGTGAGAGGATGACACAGGCTAACTATTACTTCCAGCTTCAGCTGCTACGATTCTAACAAAAAAAACCCGTCTTCCAAGCAGGAATTAAGTCATACCCTTCTTGGCAATACTGACCTTCCCCACCGAGGGTCCGAGGCCGCAGTTCACCTCCATCCACAGCAAACACACACCAGCACAGAAGCTTCGCGCTGCTGCTTCTTTAGCTTCTGAGCCCAAGCCCTCAGGCCTCGCTCACCTGAAATGAGGAAACTCTTTTACCGCATGAATCTCATTACCTGCCTCTCCAGTGGGCGCAGGGGCTGCCTTGGGCAAAATTTGCCCCCCACCCTCGCGCAAGACATTACAATCCCCAGCCCCTCAGATGGGAATTAACTCTCCCGCCCGCACCTCGGGGCCCCTCCGCCCTGCCCCGCGTCCCCGGCAGCCCTGAGGGGCCGGGTTTGGCCACCCCTCG